ATAATCATCTGTAGCACACTGTCACCTGAAGGTTTTTGGTTCAGTCCACATTAAACTAAAGTACTTTCAGAGATTTCATCTTCCACACCCTGCTGCCACCACTGCCTCCTCCTCCCTCATCAGACTCCTCTTCTCACTTCCTCTCCTATCTCTATTTCTGTCCTGTCATTACACCTCCCTTCAGCTCATCATCATCTTTCACACTGATATTGTGGATCACATCCTCACATATGCAGACTTGTTAAGTGCCATATGAATGCAGATACTGCAAACCTCAAAGGGAAAGTGAGGCGAGGGGCGGAGAGAGGATTGTCAACATGTTGGTATAAATCCTCGGCAGAGATCCTCATGTCGGTGCATGCCTCTGTGTGTGTGAATCTTTAATAAGAGAAGGGACCTTGCAGCGCGAGGCAAAGTAATTTCTCACCACCAGCTGTGAGTGTGAGCTATAATGTGCCTTGATGACGCTGATCGCAGCCTGTGAATAGAGGTGCTGCAGGACAGCGTTCAGCCGCTCTGTGCCAGTGTGCTGTTACAAGGATGACATCATTCCACTGCAGCACTTAGCTCGTACACACACACACTCTCTCTCTCTCTCACACACACACACAGAAGTATCATTCTCAGTGCTCTGATCTGTCTATTTGTGGTCAGCCGCTATTGGCATATGTGTTTGTGCTCAGAGTGTGTACTGTAGAGGTAAAGACCAGACAAGGTTCACACCACTGATATCACAAACTGTCGTCATGTCACTGGAGGGAAGGTGGGATGTTCACTAATGGTCATATCACCGCAGATCCATCACATCTCATTTCTAACACATTGATGACTCACAGGTCATTAGACAGATCAGCCCATGTGGGTGTGTGCACAGCATCAAGCGTCTCCATGTCTGTGTAAGTGTTTTCATAGACTCTACATACAGTACGGCATGGATGCCATCAGTGAATAAGTTAGAGTGGAAAGTACAGGGTGTGTGAGAGACTGGAGATTGATATATGAGAATAAGAAAATGAAGCTAACGAGAAGCTGGGGTTCAACCAAACTGAGCTTCACACCTTAGCTTTGCCTAACAAATTAATATACAGAGGGGGCTGTAAAATATTTATGTTTAGGAATAAATTAGTAATATTTGAAATGATAGTGTTTTCACCTGTACATTTACCTGGAAAAATAGGGTGAGGCGTATTGGGCTTTACAGTCACAACAGAGAGCAGAAAAAAAGTCTCAATGCTTCCCTCAAGATCTTGCTGTGAACACACAATGTAACGGACGTGCACACGCACACACACACACACAGTTGTCGGTTAACCCAGAACAGAATGTTTTATGACAGCAGGTTGGCAAGAGAAACTGGTGTATTTGTTCCAGAGAGGACGAGGAAATGGAGGGAAATAAGGAGAAGAGTGTCGCAGCTGTCCAGTTAGGCTCAGTGTTCATATCTGGTGGAGAAGGCCTGGGGGGAAATTACAGACATTCAAGTGAAAGCT